CTTTCTCTAGGAGTGACACGATCTCCTGACTTAAAATCGAGGCCTCCCCAGGACGTACCGTCGTAGGAAGAACCCCGCTGAAAGGAGGTGGCCCTTTCCAAAACTGGATGGTGTAACCGTGTCGAACGGTGCGTAGTACCCATCATGAGACGTCGGGCAGGCATCTCCACGTGGCCCAATAGTCTACCAGGGGTTTTAGACGTTCTACGGTTGGAACGTTCACCTGATTATCCCGTATAGGGTCCCGGAGCACCTGAGTGGCGGGAAAAACTATAATGGGAAGATGTCCAATTGTCCTGTCGGGCCTGCCCACCACCCCAAAAGTGGGAGCTTTGAAGGCTGTCATAAACGGGCCATGCTTGCATGACCCTTGGGCTTTCTCTCGAACTCTGAAGGGTGGAACGCACAGAGTATCTGAGGGGGTGCTCGTCGACCTAAAACTGCCCGAGGCGCAATATGCGGCGGGACCGTCAAGATCTGAGTCAGGAGGCCACAACGAGAGAGGCGAATACGCTTGTGCGGTTCGCTAGAAATGGGGACGTCCAAAAGAAAAGTCCTTCTCCTTAATGTCAGTGAGAGTGAGCCAAAGATGGCGCTCAGCTGACACTAAACCTGCCATGGACCTGCCCACTGCCTGAGCCGTGTGCTTGGTAGCCCTAAGCGCCAAGTCAGTAGCTCTTCTGAGCTCTTTAACGGCCTCTGGGGTCAGGCCCTCTCCCTCATCCAGCTCCTTGAGCACATCTGCCTGATAAGCCTGGAGTACACCCATAGAATGGAGTGTAGAGAGGCCTACGGGGCTGAGACGGAGTGCGGCTGGACAAAAATCGATCGTCCAGTTTCGACTGGGACTGAGTTTGCGCTGGCTCGCTATCCCACTCTAACCCCAGCTTATCCACAGTGCGCGTTACAACGTCTAATAGTTCGCTGTAAGACGGGGAAGTGCGTTTCTCCTGTCCACTCGGAGGGAGAGAACTGCACAGTTCGCCCAATAAATCCTCCGAATCGGAGGCTGCTGTGGACAGCACGTCTTCATCATACGGCATACAACTGAAAGACATCGCATCGCGAGCTTCCGGGGTAGGCCGCAAATTATCATTGACAAAGACCACGGGATCCCTGTAGCGCTCTTTGAGCACTTGCACATGGCTTGGAGAGAGCGAGAGAAAAGGAGAGAATTCCGTTGACTCACCCTCTAAGCACCTCGGCTCGCATGCGTCACCCCAAGCGACCGTCTCGTGCGGCACCTCGGCAACCGCAGAAACGGGATAGCGGGGGTTAGACGCGAGGACTACTTTATTTGAGAAGGCCGCGAACCTCGAGCGCAGTGGTTTTAGCCGTAGGCTATCACAGTGTTGACAATCAGAAAGGCCGCTAAGTGCCGCTTGAGCGTGTTGTAAGCCCAAACATTGCACGCACCTGTCATGAGTGTCTCCTCCTGCGATAAACCTGTCACACGGCTCGATGCATCTCCTGTAGCTCATCGTGTCCGCTGAAGAGGAGTAAACTGCTCTTTCGAAGGAATTACGCATTGGGGGCGGTGCTAAGCGCTATTTGGCCAATGAATTGGCGTGATGGTATAAGGGCTTCAGACATTCGTCACACCGAAGGTGTTCCCAAAGCGATGACGCCATCGCAGCATCAAAGTGAGCCTATGAGAGGGAACCGCATCCATCATGATGTGCAATTTTATAATAATTAATTATAAATAATTAATATTATTAAAACCTACAATAATATGGTTTTTGGATATGGTATATAAAAATGATTCTGTGGTGAAGTAAATACTACAGAAAAACAAAAGTAATTTCTTTTAAGGTCAGGCAATAATAAAAAAAAAAAAAAAAAACCAAAGTAAATAATTTATTAGTACTCAATTCAAGCTTGTAGAAATTAAAGCGTAAATATCAGTAGATATATCAGTAGAAACGTAGATGTTTCTAAATAAAATATACAGTAAATTATAAAAGCATGGTATAATTAGGTGCTATTTTAAGTAAAATGAAAGCATTGCCAAGTAAGCTTTGATCAAGTGAAAATTACTTATTTACTGGTCAAGCTAAAGTTGCTTATTTTCTGTTAAATTTACTTAACTTAGACAAGTAGATTTTATTTAATTCTATATGTGAAATTAAATATAATTATGTAATATTTACTTAATTTCTTTAGGAATGTTAAGTTCAATAGTAAGTAGATTGTACAGTAGTAGCAGTAAAATGTACTTAAAATGTGTTAATTGTTATTAAGACTTTATCAAGTAAATCCTACAAGTAACTTTTTCAGCGTACGAGAATAATTTCTTGCAAATGCAGCATCGTAGTCTTTGAAGTGCCATGTAAATACCATTGTTTATAAATAAGAGAATCATTCAGTACCATAGTATATCTGATACACTGAGCAATAAAACATAAAAAAAAAATCATTCCAATTAGATTAAAAAGGGCTTTACATACAAAGTTGCAAATAAATAAATAAATGTGGTTCTGGTTGGTTGCTAGGGTGTTGGTAGAGTGTTCTAGGCAGTTATTATAGTTAATTAAAACTAAATAAAATAAATGTGACCCTGGACCACAAAACATTCTTAATTGTCAATTTTTTTGAAATTGAGATTTATGCATCACCTGAAAGCTGAATAAATAAGCTTTCCATTGATGTATGGTTTGTTATGATAGGACAATATCTTATTCAATGAAAATCTGGAATCTGAGGGTGCAAAAAAATCTAAATATTGAGAAAAAAATCGCCTTTAAATTTGTCCAAATGAAGTTCTTAGCAATGCATATTACTAATCAAAAATTAAGTTTTGATATATTTACGGTAGGAAATTTACTAAATATCTTCATGGAACATGATCTTTACTTAATATCCTAATGATTTTTGGCATAAAAGAAAAATCTATAATTTTGACCCATACAATGTATTGTTGGCTATTACTACAAATATACCCCAGCGACTTAACACTGCTTTTGTGCTCCAGAGTCACAAATGTTAACTGAAATAAAAACTTGAAAAACATTTTTCCATCTAGTTGCCAAAGAAACATTTCTAATTTTCATTTAGTTTACACCTTGATGTACTAAAATTAAAACTGAAATAAAAACAAGATACTATACAGAAAAAAAAACTAATAAAAATGACAAATATGCACAACAAAATTACTTGGAAAAAAATGAAAAATATAATTCAAATTATAAATAAAAAACTAAATGCATCCCAATATTTATCATAGACGGATAAAATATTTATTTGTTAATATTACTTCTTTTGCAATAATTGTTTTACTCAGTCCATCACCGATTCTATTTTTTCATAGACGTAAAGTCTCTTAAAACAAAGACACACACTCTCTCTTGGTCTATAAACACGTTTAATAATATTGCATTAAACAGACAAACCCCCAGAGTCCGCATTAGACCACGAGGAGGTCAGCAGGAGGCGGTTTGAGAGGGATCTGTCCCAGCGTGAAGCGTTTAGCTGTGAACTCCTTCAGTTCTTCTGCCGTCAGGTCACTGTGGGCCGAGAACAGACCAGTGTCTGCAGCTCTAGTGCTGCTCTGACCGAAGCCACCGCCGTCAGCCGGTGCCGGGGACCCTCCTGGAGACGGCTTGAAGCTGAACGCAGACACAGAGCTGGACGCTGCTGCAGCGCTGGATTTGTCGTCTGCGGCTGGTCCTGCGAAAGAAAAGGAGGACGCAGACGCAGCAGGAGCACTGAAACCTGACGGGGGCTGAGCGAACGCGCCACTGCCAAAACCAGAGGCATGCTGGGTATTTGTCGCTCCAAAGCCAGTTTTGGATGGGGCGAAGCTGAAACTGCTACTGCTCTGAGAGCCTGGACCAAACCCTGAGAAAACAACACAACATTTCATTTCGTAAGATCACAGAAATGTTGAGATCCCATTTTTCAAGAGCTGGTTGGTTGCATTTAAATCAGGCTACTACATGACCATACAAACTACATTCAAATACAAACATTTTGGCAACACTTTACAATAAGCTCCCATTAGTTAACGAGAAATAAATTTGTTACAGTATTTATGTTTAATGTATATTTGTTTTATTTTTTATTTGTGACCCTGGAGCACAAAAGCAGTCGCTGGGGTATATTTGTAGCAATAGCCAACAATACATTGTATGGGTCAAAATTATAAATTTTTCTTTTATGCCAAAAATCATTAGGATATTCAGTAAAGATCATGTTCCATGAAGATATTTTGTAAATTTCCTACTGTAAATATATCAAAACTTAATTTTTGATTAGTAATATGCATTGCTAAGAACTTCATTTGGACAACTTTAAAGATGATTTTCTCAATATTTAGATTTTTTTGCACCCTCAGATTCCAGATTTTCAAATAGTTGTATCTCAGCCAAATATTGTCCTATCCTAACAAACCATACATCAATGGAAAGCTTATTTATTCAGCTTTCAGATGATGCATAAATCTCAATTTCGGAAAATTGACCCTTATTACTGGTTTTGTGCTCCAGGGTCACATAACACATAAAATTTTTATTTTATTTTTCTAATGTTTCTTATTTATTCTTACCATTTTTATTAGCATCCCTTCATTTATGTTTATTTATATATTAAAATATTCACACACAGTTATTTTAAATTGTAATGATATTTTACAGTTTTTACTGTATTTTTGACCAAATAAATGCAGCCTCGGTGAGCAGAAGAGACTTCTTTAAAAAACATTTAAAAAAAATCTTACAGACCCTAAATTTTGGTAGTGTACAATTCATCTTAAATTAATCTAAAAACAAAATTATGTTGCATAATTACTAGTTAGCGTTTACTGAGTGTTAATTTTAGACCCTATATATGTATTAATCGTTTATTAGTAAATGCTGAAATCTACATGAACTAACATTAATAAATGCTTCAGAAGTGTTTTTCAATGTTCGTTCAAATGGAACCTTACTGTAAAGTGTTTCCACAATTTTGTCTGTAAAACTCTATAAGAGTTTCTTTATATGTACTTGTGATAAAAATGTTGTTATCATTAGTTTTTCTAGATCCCATCTTATTAAATAAGTCCTTCAAAGCTTGTCCTGATCAAAATCGTTGCCTCATGGCATAAATTAGGCAGACCAAAAACGTATGTTTTAGAGACAAGTGCTACAATATTGACATTTTTGTGGTTGTCTGTCTGTCAGTGAGTCACTCTAGTCGACTGGATATATTAAAAAAAAAATTGGAAATATAATTTGTTCCATTTCCCAAGATTTCTGACTGAATCCAGAACAAACCTCCTGCTCCAAAGCCAGATGATGAAGATGAAGATGTGGTTCCAAACCCTGATGCAGAGGAGCCGAACTCATGTGTTGATGTTTGGGAACTGGGGTCATTGAGCTCGGAGATCTGAGGACATCAATCACATGGCTTCAGCTATGTTTGTGCATGCGGTTCAGTGTCAGATGAAGCTTGTGAAGATCTTACCACACTGATCCGAGTGGAGCTGCTCATGGTCCGCAGCTCCTGAACTCTGCTCCTCCATTGGTCTGCCAGCTGCTGAACAGAGTTCATCTGAAACAACACAGATTGAGAGCTTTTACAAACATCAAACCAGAACTCTCAGCGAGTGCCAAGTTAACTCGCAACAGAAATGTGACCCTGGAGCACAAAACCAGTCATAAGGGTCAATTTTTTTAAATTGAGATTTATGCATCATCTGAAAGATGAATAAATGAGCTTTCCATTGATGTATGGTTTGTTAGGATAGGACAATACAGAGTTCATCTGAAACAACACAGATTGAGAGCTTTTACAAACATCAAACCAGAACTCTCAGCGAGTGCCAAGTTAACTGGCAACAGAAATGTGACCCTGGAGCACAAAACCAGTCATAAGCGTCAATTTTTTTAAATTGAGATTTATGCATCATCTGAAAGATGAATAAATGAGCTTTCCATTGATGTATGGTTTGTTAGGATAGGACAATATTTGAAAATCTGGAATCTGAGGGTGCAAAAAAATCTAAATATTGAGAAAATCATCTTTAAAGTTGTCCAAATGAAGTTCTTAGCAATGTATATTACTAATCAAAAATTAAGTTTTGATATATTTACGGTAGGAAATGTACTAAATATCTTCATGGAACATGATCTTTACTTAATATCCTAATGATTTTTGGCATAAAAGAAAAATCTATAATTTTGACCCATACAATGTATTGTTGGCTATTGCTACAAATATACCCCAGCGACTTAACACTGCCTTTGTGCTTCAGGGTCACTAATCAGTTTTAAGATAAATTGTAGCAATGATGCGGTTGGAGTCTTAATACTTTTATTCATCAAGGACGCATTAATCAAAAGTGACAGTAAAGACATTTATAATGCTGCAAAAGATTTCTGTTTCAAATAAATACTGTTCTTTAGAACCTTTTATTCATCTGTGAATCTTGAAAAATAAAATGCATCACAGTTTCCACAAAAATATTGTGCAGCACAACTGATTTCAACATTGATAATAATCAGAAATGTTTATTAAATTAATCAAAAGTGACAGTAAAGACATTTATAACGCTGCAAAAGATTTCTATTTCAAATAAATGCTGTTCTTTAGAACCGTTTATTAATCTGTGACTCTTGAAAAATAAAATGCATCACGGTTTCCACAAAAATATCGTGCAGCACAACTGTTCTCAACATTGATAATAATCAGAAATGTTTAATTGCAATAATATTTCAAAATTTTACAGCATTTTTGATCAAATAAATTTAGAAAGACTTCTTTCTAAAACAAAAGGTGAGGTAAGCTTACATTAACGATTAAATATGTGCACATAAAAGCTCCCTCAAATGCACAGATGCTGCTGCAATGTTGCGTATTAATCTTCTCTTTCATTGTAGAAGTGAAGTCGTGGTCTTACGTAAGCCTGTAAATCACCAGATGCTCGGCCAGTGTAATACTCCAGCCTCAGCTCCTCAGGAGACACCTCGACAAACCCTGCAAAACACACAGATAACATTCACAACACGAAGACAAAACTCCTCCGTTTACTCCCAGAATAATCCAACGCAACAGCTTAGACGCAGCAGTTCAGGAGAGAACATTTTCACTGTGCGAAACCCACAAGCTATTTGCTTTAGAGGCAAAAGACTGAAAGTCTGAGTGCTAAACTCACCTGAAAGCTTGCCGGGGAGGACAGAATAACAGGAAAACGGCCACTGACCCGAAGTCTGCCAGATCTCCATGTCTTTCTGGATAGTATCCCTGAAATAAAAGCAAGCATGCAACAGTGAGACAAAGCGCAGTGCATCAGAAGAGTTCATTTGCAAAAGCCGATAACGCCACTTTAAAAAAAAAAACACGAGAAAAAATCTGTTGTTTTTGCCTATGCATGTTCATTCATGTCTTTTTATAATAAAAAAAAAAATTGAGTCCCGATGTCCTCTACCGAGGATGTAGCATAATTATGAATGAAATATAATTTTTTACATTTTTTAATGCTCTAAACAATGTAATGACATGAAAAAATGCTAATTTTTTTCTTAAAATGCTTTGCCGGGTCTTAAGAGGTTAATACAGTATTATTATTAAAAAGAGTATTTATTATTACAGAATTAATACACTTTAAAAGAATATACTGAATGTAATATTTTCAGACACTTATTGCATTTCTTTGCAAATGAAATGTAAATGTATTATAGTTTAAATTGATAGTCAATGCACTCAAAAGTGCATCGTATATCATATGTAATTTTATAATTATTTCTATTGTCTTTGAAATATGTTACATGTGCACTGACAACTGACCAAATAAACTGAAAATATACACTGCCGTTCAAAAGCTTGGGATCAGTAAGATTTGTAATGTTTTTTAAAGAAGACTCTTATGCTCGTCAAGGCTGCATTTATTTGATCAAAAATACAGAAAAAACTGTGATATTGTGAAATATTATTACCATTTAAAATACTTGATTTCTATTTTAATATACTTTAAAATATAATTTATTTCTGTGATGCAAAGCTTAATTTTCAGCATCATTACTCCATTCAGTGTCTCGTGATCCTTCAGAAATCATTCTAATATGCTGATTTATTATCAATGTTGGAAACAGCTTTGCTGCTTAATATTTTTTTTGGAACCTGTGATACTTTTTTTCTGAATTCTTTGATGAATGAAGTTAAAAAGAACAGCATTTATTTAATTTATTTAAAATAGAAATCACTATTATCCATTATAAATCAATGTGATAAACGAGTTAGGTCAAAAGTAACCTGATTACATTACCTAAAATGTGTAATGTAACGGATTACGTTACTAACCGCGATTTCTGTCATGTTATTTGCAATCAGTAATGGATTACTCTGGTTATACCATGGTACTTGTTTTGTAAGACACACTCGGTTGAATCAGGCTGTATCTGGATTCTATTTTGCTCACAAAAACATAACGTTGTTAAATATATAACGTGTAATACGTGTGTGTTTGTTTGACCTCCTCTGCTCGGCTGCTGGGTTCCTCTGTAATCTCCTCCTCTTTCGCCTCTCGGATGTTCATTCCAGCACTTTTCTCCGTATCTACAGCGACCTTGAAGAAAGAAGTTACACACCGTCATTTTTAAACTTTACAAACACAAATAATGTGCTGTTTGTGGAGCGGAGAGTTTGACGCTGCTTCTCGAGCGACGGCCACCGGCGTGACGCAAGACGCACATTCGGACGTAAACAATGTTTTTCAAAATAAAAGTCTTGACGCGGCGCCTCTGGGGATCTTTAAAACGTTTGAGCTATATTAAAACATTTATTACATAAAATAAAGATCTGATCTAGTATTCAACTGGGTTGAGTTCATCAAGACAGTTTTCTGTCTTTGTAGAAAAAGTTTAATTTACTTATGCAGCATGTTAGCTGGAAACTTTGAAGGTATATATATAGCATGTTGTTAACATGTTTTAACATGATTAGCATGTTGCTAGCATGTTGTTAGCATAGTTAACATGTAGATAACATGTTGCTAGCATGTTTCTAGCATGATTATCATATTGTTAGCAGGATTAGCATGTAATTAGCATGTTTTTAACATGATTAACATGATGCTAGCATGTTTTTATCATGATTAGCATGTTGTTATCATGATTAGCATGTTTCCAACATGTCATTAGAATGGTTTTAACATGACTAGCATGCTGCTAACATGTTTCTACATGATTAGTATGATGTTAGCATTTTTGCTAACTTGATTAACATGTTGCTAACATGTTGTTAACATAGCATGTTGCTAGCATGATTAGCATGTTGTTAGCATATTGCTAGCTTGTTTCTAACATGATTGGCTTGTTGTTAACATATTGCTAGCTTGTTTCTAGCATGATTGGCATGTTGCTAGCATGATTAGCATGTTGTTAGCATGTTTCTAACATAATTAGCATGTTGCTTGAATGAATTAGTACATTGTTTCTAGGCTTGGCTTGTGAGACAGACAGACAGACAGACAGATAGACAGATAGATAGATTAGAAATATTAGGTAGAATGGATTCTTAAATGAGTCTAATGGCGTAGAAATGGTACATAGAAGGGAAGGTTGATTGAGTCTCAAGGGATTCTGGGAGTTTAAAGAGGTCATATGATGCGATTTCATTTTTTCCTTTCTCTTTGGAGTGTTACAAGCTCTTGGTGCATAAAGAAGATCTGTAAAGTTGCAAAGACTAAAGTCTTTGACAGTTGGAATTTGAATCTTTTAAATGCATAAATGAATAGTCTTGGCTCATTTGAACATTCCGTCAATGTAAGTCCATGAGATTTTTATGATTTTTAATCTTAATTTTTATGAAAACTGTAAGTCCGATCAGTTAGAAAAGAGCAAGCACACTAAATCAGAACAATCTTAAGATCTGAGCTGAGTTTAGAGGTTGTAGCTTAAAAGCACTAGGAGTAGCGTTCAGAAATGTTAGTCTCATAAGAATAATAAGAAGAAGCAGCTTAAATAGCAGATCAGTAAGACCTGTTTCGCGGTATTTGCATTTAACTGCAGCAATAAACGCATCTGTAATGCTTCCAACTCAGAGAACCGATTCGGTATGTAATCGATATGTAACGCTACTTGAGTAGTTGGACGCGAAACTGGACCATAAGCGACGCAGGTGACGTCATATAGAAAGACATCAGTTCAGGCAGCGTCCGACCAATCAGAGTGCGAGACGGCGTACGCGGCGCATGGACTTACTTGATGGACACACCCAGACGACCAATGAGCGGCCTGCTCACATCAGGCGGGGGCGGGACCTGGGCTGAGCGGAGACGGGCAGGTATTAAAGTCTATAGTGATATCAGAGAGATGCCAGTTGGACGTCAGTGGTCTAGGACATCGTCAACATCTTAATAAGCTCTTTACATTTTTTTTGCATGCTTTATTAAAACCACCTGATTTCCTGGCCTGTGCTGTGGGCTAGATAATAAGTGAAATGACGATCCTGGAAGTGAGCGGTCAGCTGCTCGAGAACACCGTGCAGAAGATGAGTCTGACCTCAGTGCTGCTCGCCGCTTCTGTGCTCACACTCACTCTGGGATACCTGAGCAAACTCCTGTTCACACAGCAGCAGCAGCACGCTGGAGATGAAGTGAGTGCACGATATTACCTAAAGTTCAGGAACTGCTTGTAAATCTGCGTGCATGAAAATCATTTAATCTACTTGCATGAGTAATTATCACGTCTAGTGTTGAGATCATTGGGACTGTAGTAAGAGTGCTGGCTAGTGTGTGATGTGGAATTAAAGTAAATAGAAGTCAATGTCATCTCTCCATCTTTCTATACTTTGTTCTGTCTGTCTGTCTGTCTGTCTATCTATCTATCTATCTATCTATCTATCTATCTGTCCATCTGTCCATCCATCCATCCATCCATCCGTCCATCCGTCTATCCGTTCATCTATCTGTCTGTTTTTCCATCCATCCATCTATCTGTCCGTCCGTCCATCTATCCATCTAT